AGAGGATTGCACCACCAGCTGGTATGCAGCTGATAGCTCTGTGTGTCATGTATCTGGGTGTGGGTGTGGGTGTGGGATCCCATCAATTTCTGTAGGTCAGGTGAGTATGGACCACTCCAGTGGGCCCAGGTGCGTGTAGCGTATCATGCTTGGTAGCAGGGTTAGGTGCCTGTCATTTTTGAGAGCTACAAAGGGGCTGTGATGCAGCCATGTGTCCAAATTGGTAACCCCTCAGTGTCAGGGCTGCACAGCTGACTTCTCAGGGGCTCTAGGGGCTGGCGTCTTCCAGGGCTGAGGGAGGGTGGACAAGGCCAGGCATCCGTTTCTGTGTGCCTTCGTGGGTTAGACCTCTGAGAGGAGGTTATTCAGCTACTTCCTGGGACCATGGTAATATGGATGGGGTGATCTAGTTGCTCCCTGGGGGCCTTGGTAAAGGAGTGAAGCCATTTGAGCTAGCTTTTGTTGATAGTAAGATTAATGAACTTATTGATTATAATGCCATCAGGACTTCCTGTTTTTGTGTGTTTTGTTAAATTTTCTTATTTCTCTAAAAGTTAAATTTGTTGTTATAAAGGTAATAATATTTAGTTATATAATTTTAATGTATTCTATTTTATAATTTAAAAATTTATAATTTACAAATTTTATGTGGATACTACATGAAAGTTTAGATATATGTGTAAGTGGTACATATTATTATATTATCTACTAGGTGTATATACATACTTATGTGAATATATACATATATTTATGCATATAAAACTGACTACAGCTCATTTCAATATATTGAAAATTTCCAGTATTACAGAAATTTCCTCGTCAGATCTCTTTACAGTCAATACCTCTATGCTACAAATGTCTACTAATCTGACATCCATCACTGTAGATTAATTTGCCTATTCTTGAAGTTAATGTGGATAGAATCACATCATTCTGTGGTCTTTTGTGACCGCCTTCTTTACTTACAATTATGTTTGTGAAGTTCATACTTATTCTTTTATGTGGTGATAAATAAGTTTTTGTGATGTGTAGTATGTTACTGGCTAGAGACAGTCTATATATTCTATCATTGATTGTTATTTGGGCTATTCTTAGGTATAACTGTGAATAATTACTAATATTGGTAAAAACCAGTTATGAGTACAATTGCAAGGAAAGTATCGTCCATATTTTGGGGAAATATATATCCATGGCATATGCATCTGTATGTGGAATGATTGGATCATAAGCATGTCATATTATATTAGCTTTAGTAGATATTGGTACAGAGTTGTTAATTGTGCTTGCACCATAATAATCTTTGAGAGATTCAGTTTAATTAACATTTAATCAACTGTGTGTTTTGATACCTCTTATTGTGAATTTTCCAACTTTATATTGTTTTTCTCCAGATTCGGTTTTGCTCATCCAAGTTACTGCATTGTTATATAAGTTTAAGAATAGCTACACTATTTACAAAAAGGCTGTTGGGATTTTCATTTGAGTAGTGATAATATATAGATCAATTTTGGAAGGTTGACATTCTAACAATATTGGTTCTTACAATCTATATCATAGCATGAATCCTTTTACTTACATCTTCTGAAATTGTAGCAAAATAATTTATGGTTGCAGTCTAGGGATATTATATATCATTGAATTTAGAATATTAATTGATTCAAATTTTTCATTTTTCTTTGGCTTATGAGTTACATACGATTGTTTTTGTATAATTTGATTATTTGCTGGGGGTGGGGTAGGGTGCATTTTTCCAAGATCCTTATTTATTGAGTTCTAAATTAATCTCCCTTACAAGAAAAAGTATTCTCATTTTAATCCATATTTTAATACTTAGATTTAGATAAGCTAGAATATACTGTCACACAAGTACCAGGAGTTAGGGACTGAACACATATTTTGAAGGGACATAGTTCCACCTGGTAAAGTCTTCTGGCTCTCAGAAATTTTTACCTATTCCCTGGGATTGGTACTATGGTATAGTGGGTTAAGCCACTGCTTGTGACACTGACATCCAATTTGAGCACTGGTTTGTGTTCAGGCTACTCCACTTCTGATCTAGCTCTCTGCTAATGTGCCTGGGAAGGCAGATGAATATGGCCCAGTTACTTGGGCCCCTGCCCCCCACCTAGGAGACACAGATAAAGCTCCTAGATTCTGGCTTTGACCTGGCCCAGCCCTGCCTGTTGTCGCTGTTTGGGGAGTGAACCAGTGGATGGAGGATCTGTCTTTCTACACCTGTACCTACCTGTACCTCTGCTTCTCTGCCATTCAAATAATTATATATAAATCTTAAAAATTATTTTTAATAGAAAGACTTTATTTAATAAATATAAATTTCATAAGTAAAACTTTTGGATTATAGTGGTTCTTCCCCCGATACCCGCCCTCCCACACCCAAACCATCCCACTTCCTACTCTCTCTTCCATCCCATTCTTCATTAAGTTTCATTTTTAATTTTCTTTGTTATACAGAAGATCAACTCTATAGTAAGTAAAGATTTCAACAGTTTGCACCCACACAGACACACAGAGTATAAAGTGCCACTTGAAGACTAGTTGTACCATAGTACAACACATTAAGGACAGAGGTCCTATGTGGGGAGCAAGTGTACAGTGACTCCTGTTGTTGACTTAACAATTGACACTCTTATTTATGATGTCAGTGATCACCTGAGGCTGTTGTCATGAGCTGCCAAGGCTATGGAAGCCTCTTGAGTTCACAAACTCTGACCTTATTTAGACAAGGCCATAGTCAAAGTGGAGGTTCTCTCCTTCAGAGAAAGGTACCTCCTTTTTTGATGGTCCCTTCTTTTCACCAAGATCTCATTCACAGAGATCTTTCCAATAGGTCATTTTTTTTGCCAGAGTGTGGTGGCTTTCCATGCCTAAAATACTCTCATGGGCTTTTTAGCCAGATATGAATGCCTTAAGGGCTGATTCTGAGGCCAGAGTGCTGTTTAGGGCATTTGTCATTCTATAAGTCTGCTGCGTGTCCTGCTTCTCATGTTGGATCATTCTCTCCTTTTACCATTGGCCGAATTCTTTACTTAACACAGAATTATTCTTAGGTGTTTAAATCCAGTTGAAAATTGATCCCTGTTAAAAATAAAAGTGGGAATAAGAGAGGGAGGAGATGTATAGTTTGGTACACGTTCCCTCAGACTTACCCATAAGGGTAAAACTAAACACTTGCCATGGGACTACAAATCCCATTAAATTGTCAGGTACCAATGCTATATTTTTTAAAAAGATTTATTTTATTTATTTGAAAGATAAAAAAAAGAGAGGTAGACACAGAGAGAGAGGCCTTCCATCCGCTGGTTCACTACCCACATGGCCACAATGGCCAGAGCTGCGTCAATCTGAAGCCAGGAGCCAGGAGCTTCTTCCGGGTATCCCACATGGGTGCAGGGGCCCAAGGACTTGGGCCACCCTCTACTGCTTTTCCAGGCCACAGCAGAAAGCTGTATTGGAAGAGGAGTAGCCGGGACTAGGACTGGCGCCCATATGGGATGCCGGCACTGCAGGCCAGGGCTTTAACCCACTGCACCACAGTGCTGGCCCCTCATTGCCATCTTACTAGTTAATTTGATCAGTTTAAGTTCATAACTGATCATAAAGATAGGATTAAGTGTCAAAGGGATCACATAAATAAGACCAAATATGTGTTAATAATAATTGATAGAATTAAAAAAATTCATGTCCAGTCTCCTTGTAAAATATGTTCACACCATGCCAACATTCCCAAGAGTTCCACCCCATTGCTGGATAAACTCTAAGTATAGACTCTTACCTCAATATTTTCAGACCAGAAAGGCCCAAATTATCATTATCTATGTCATGTACATCTTATATAGTTGAAACTCTAAATATGGTCCATCTTGGAGCAAAATTCCTCTCCATCTGTATAGATTTGGTTCTAGAAAGCAAGCTCTCTATTTCCAAAATAAAATGGTGGCACAGATGTTAAGAGAGATGTTCTTGTTACAAAAAGGAGATAATGTATGAAAGAAAAGAGTCAATGGTTCCGAACAACTTTGAATCCCTGAAGGGAAAGTTTCTTCAATGATAAGTTTGGAGAATAATCTGTGGCTCAATCTTACACTTACTTGAGCTGCGGAAGTTCTCCCTCTGGCCATGGGGAGGTTCTCTTGTCCTCTGCCTTAGAGACTGTGACTCTCTGGCTTGGTCAACCTCTTGGCTGTCTGAGGTCCATCAAAGCATTCCTCCTCTTTCTGGAAGGACAGCTACATACATTTGCGTCTGAGTGGCTGCTTTAGCCTAGTCCTGCTCATAGAATGTTAGGAATCCAGCAACCCTTTCGTTTTATCTTCTCTCTGCCCCTGTAGTATGAACTGGCAGTGCTTCTGCTGATACAGCTGCGTCAAACATCTTGGTTGGTCCACTCTGTACGCCAGAAATTCAACTGACAGAATCCTCTGTAGATTCTCTGTAGATCTTTTCACAGTCCTGTGTTATTACACATTGTTTGTATTCTATATTTACTACATATCAGAGAAAACATACGATGTTTGTCTTTTTGGACCTTATTTCACCAAGCATGATGGGTTCCATTTGGATTAATCTTGTTGCAAAAGACAGGGTTTATTCTTTTTTATGGCTGAGAAGTATTTGATTGTGTGTGTGTCTGTGTGTGTATAACTTCAACTTAGAATCACAGGCTTAATGCACCACTAACCATAATGTTCAACAAATAAAATGTAGAAAGACCATTATTCCACAGGAGTATATAGACAAGAGCTAAAAACAGTAATCATAAGATTTCAGTTTCATTATTATACATTGTGTTCTTTTTTTAGGCATTCTATAATAACTGTCACATATCAGAGAAAGCATATATTTGTCTTTTTAGGACGGGCTTATTTCTTAAGCATAATGGTCTCCAGTTTTATACATTTTGTTGCAAAACACAGGATTTTATTCTTTTTGTAGCTAAATAGTATTCCACTTTGTGTTTATATCACTTTCTCTTTATTCAGTTTCCAGCTGGTGCATACCTGGATTGATTCCATATCTTAGCTGTTGTGACTTGAGCTGCCATAAACATGGGACTACAAATAACTTTTTCATATGAAGATTTCATTTCCTTTGAGTAAATTCCCAGGTGTGAGATGGCAAGGTTCTATGGTAGACTGTTTTCAGATTTCTGAGGAATGTCTATGCTGTCTTTCAAATGGCTGTACTGAGTTTACATTCCCACCAGCAGTGCGTTTGAGTTCCTTTTTCTCCACCTCCTTGCCAGCATTTATTATTTTTTGATTTTTGGATGATATTCTGACAGGGGTGAGTTGAAACCTTATTTTGGTCTTTATTTGCATTTCCCTGGTGGCTAGAGATCATACAAAAAAAATGCTCAGTTTAATGACTTCAACATGTATATAACCATGAAGTCATCACCATCGTCAAGAAACGTGCCATTCCTTGTATTTTGTTTATGCTTTCTTTAAACCTTTCCAACTTCACCATATACTCCCAGGCAAATACTGATCTGCTTTCAGGCACTGTAGATTTGCATCCATTTTTATGTAGTATATGCTGTTTGAATATTTTTGCTCAGCATGACAGTTTTGAGATTCATTCATACGGTTGCATGTATTAATGGTGTGTTCCTCTTTATTGCTGAGTAGTACCCCATTTTATGGATATACCACATTTGTTTATCCATTCACCTGATGATGGGTATTTGGGTTGTTTCCAGTTTTAGGCCATTACAAATAAAGCCCGCTGTGAACATGCCTGTACAAGTCTTTGTGTTCTCCTGAGAAAATACCTATGACTTCGATTGCTGGGTCATACGGTAAGTGTATGTTTCACTTTATCAAAAAAGAAAGCCCAATTGTTTTCTGCAGTGGCTGTGTGGTGTGTTCCATCCGGGATGCTTGGGAGTGCCAGTTGTTCAGATTGCTTTCCAAAGCATGTTATGGTCAGTCTCTTTAATTGTAGCCTTCCAGTGTGTGTATCATACTATTATCTCCTTGTAGTTAATTTTCATTTTCCTGATAAAAAGATATTTTGAGCATTTTTTCTAGTTTCTAAAGGGATTTTTGTGTGTCTTTTGTACTTTGTTCTGATATCTTTCCCATAGTTAAGTGAGTTATCTTAACATTATTGACTTGTAAAAGGTCTTAACTTTGGAGGGCAATGCTGTAGCATGGTGGGTTAAGCCTCTGGCTGTGGCACTGGCATCCCATATGGATGCCGATTCTAGTCCCAGCTGCTCCTCTTCCGATCCAGCTCTCTGCTATGGCCTGGGAAAGCAGTAGAAGATGGCCCAAGTGCTTGGGCCCCTGCACCTGTGTGGGAGACCTGGAAGAAGCTCCTGGCTCCTGGCTTCAGATCGGCCTGGCTCTGGCCATTGTGGCCATGTGGGGAGTGAACCAGTGGATGGAAGACCTCTCTCTGTCCCCCCCACCCCCGTAACTCTACCTATCAAACAAATAAATTAAAGAAAAAAAAACTAAAAAAAAAAAAAAAAAGCGTTCTTAACTTTGTATGAACAAAAATCCTTTGCTGATACATACGTGGTGAATATCTTCTCCCAAACTGCTATCTACAGTTTGGTTTTCAAAGAAAATTTGAAGAAGTCCATTTACTTTTTATTCTATAGTTCATGCGTTTGTGTTCTAATAAACTTTTTCCTATGAATTCACAAAGATTATCTACTCTGTTTTTTGTATAGGTGTTTTTTCGTTTTTGATTGTACTTTTAGGACTGTGGTTCATGTTGAGTTTGTGTGAGGGTAATGATGGTATGGATATGTTGATGAACATATGCTACTGCAAGGATGTCTGCTCTGATGAGCACCATTTGTTTTGGAAACTTTCTTGTCCCTGTTATAATACCTTGTTGCCTTTGTAAAAAGTGTGACCATAATTGTGTTTGTTTAATTCTATTCCACTCGTCATTGTGTCTGTCATTCACTTGACCAAAGTATCTTGGTTAACATAGCTTTATATTAACTTTGAAATAACATGAGATGGTCCTCCAAACTAGCTATTTATTTTTAAAAATTGCTTTGCTTACTATACTCTGTCCCTTGAATTTATATATTTATATACACACATACACACATATATTAGAATTAGGTTAATTTCCACAAAAAAATTTAATGTAATTTGAATTGATTTGTGTCTAGAGATAAAATTAAAGATAATTGTCTTATAAAATGTTTAGCAATCTTAAGAGTGAACATGATGATTTTGTATTTGCGTAAATCCTTTTAAATTTGTCTCTGGGGAATTATACAATTTTATTGCACATTTCTAGGAAGTATTTTCTTAGATTTATTCATAAGGATGATGAATGTTATTCCTCCTTAATGAATAAGGGTGTTTTATTTGCTCCGCTTGTAAATGGAATTGTTCAGTGATTTGATTTTCCAGGTAGCATATAAGAATAAAGTTGACCAGAGTAGGCATTTGGCACGGAGGTTAAGCTACCACTTGGGAGGCCCATGTCCTATACTGGAGCACCTGAGTTTGAGTCCTGACTGCTTCTAGTTCCAGCTGCCTACAGTGCACACCCTGGGAGGCTGGAGATGATAGCTCAGGTACTTGGGTCTGCACCTGATGTTGAATACCCAGATTGAGTTCCAGGCTCCTGGCTTTGGCCTGAGTCAGCCCTAGCTGTTGTGGGCCTTTGGATTGTGAACCAGCAGGTGTAAGATTGCTATCTTCCAAATAAATAAATTTAAAAAGAAGTACATTTTGCATTTTAATGTTAGCTTGGATCTTGTGACATTGGTTATCATTGATTAGGTCTCAGTTATTATGACAAACATATCTTCATATGATAAGTTTTGCTTCTTTTCTAATATCTATGCTTTGTATTTCTTTTATTGCAATTTCTTAGTCCTCTAGTACAGTGTTGAAGTAGGAGAAGACGACATTCTTGCCCTGTTGCTGATATTAGAGATAAAACAAATCATTTGTTGACTCTTAAAATAAACTGTAGAATTTTCCTGTATATATGTTTTTTCATTGGAGAGATACAGAGAGGGACAGACAGACAGAGGAGTTCCCATATGCTGGTTAGTTTCTCAAATGCCCACCATGGATAGGCTGGGCTGAGTCTAAAGCCAGAAGCTAGGAACACAATGCAGTCTCCCATGTCCTGGCAAGAACCCACTTACTTGAACTATTGCTACTGTATTGCAGGGTCTGCATTGGTGGGAAGCTGGAGTAAAGAGCCAGAGCCTAGGCTGGCGCCGTGGCTCACTTGGCTAATCCTCCGCCTGCGGCGCCAGCACCCCGGGTTCTAGTCCTGGTTGGGGCACCGGGTACTAGTCCCATTTGCTCTTCCAGTCTAGCTCTCTGCTGTGGCCGGGTAGGGCAGTGGAGGATGGCCCAAGTGCTTGGGTCCCTGCACCCACACGGGAGACCGGGAGGAAGCACCCAGCTCCTGGCTTCAGGTTGGTGCAGCGCCGGCCGTAGTGGCCATTAGGGGAGTGAACCAAAGGAAGGGAGACCTTTCTCTCTGTTAGTCTCTCACTGTCTATAACTCTACCTGTCAAAAAAAAAAAAAAAAACCAGAGCCCAGGATAGAAGCCAGGCACTCTGATGAGGGTTGCAGGCATCTTAAATCACTAGTCTATACTACCACCGCAGCTCTAAGAGTTTCTCTGGGACTGGGATTGTGGTGCTGTGGGAACAATGGCATCCCATGTCAGCGCAGGTTCTGCTCCTGATCCAGCTTCCTGTTAACACTCCTCAGAAGGCAGCCAGAGATCACCCAAGTTCCGCCCATTAGGAAGATCCGCATGGGGTTCTGGGCGTCTGACTTTGGCCTGGACCAGCCTCGGCTGTTGGCTGCCATTTGGTGCATGAATCAGTGGATGAAAGATCTGTTTGTTTCTTCCTCTTTCTATCACTTGTCGCTCCCCCTCTTCATGGAGGAATGACACTAAACCCTGCCTAGGCTTCATATCCGAGTCACGGCACCATTATGTCGCTCCCCCTCTTCGTGGAGGAACGACACAGGACCCTGTGCTGTTCTTTTGTCTGCTCGGCCCTCCCCGGGTTTGCTGCTGGTTCTTCCCGGGTTGGCTACCGTCCCTTCCACCTCCGTGGAAGGGCGGTTCCCCCTGCCACATTCCCCACTTCCGCGGGGGAGCGGCACACCGCCGGCCGGCTCTCTCGGGGGCTGCACAGGTGTTCCCTCAGATGTTCCTCTTAGATGTTCCTGGTGCATGTTGTCTCTCTCCTCCTTTATAGCCCTCTTCCGCCAATCCCAACTCGGCTGCCCACACGCCGAGTACGCTGCTCTCCTCCAATCAGGAGCAGGAGGTCATCACTCAAGTTGGCAAGAGGCAGCTGCGTAGAAGCTGTTTTCTCCTCTCCCAGCGCCATATTGTGGAAGAGCAGATGCATAGAATAAGTCTTAATTCCAGTAACTCAGTCCAGTCCGGGTTGCTCCCCACAATCACTCTGCCTTCAAATAAATAAAACTTTATAATTTTTTTTAGATATTTTTGTCAGTTTGAAAAAGTCCCCAGCTGTTTTTAGTTTTCCAAAGACTTTATCATGAGTAGTGACTTCTGTCCATTGCTTTTTCCTGCGTCAGTTAAAATAGTCATGATTTCTATTCTTGTGTTAGTATGGTAATTTGATTTATGTTAAACAATCTTGCATTCCTTGAATGAATCCTATGTGGTCATGACCCTCTTTACTTATTGTTTGATTTGACTAGTTAGTATTTATACCTTTTTCAGGAGGAATATTTATTTGGTTAATAATATCATCATCATGTTAAGATTATGCTGGCTTTGTAAAATATGTTGTTCCTTCCTGGTTATTTTCTGAAAGTGTTCTGTAGCAATGGTATTATCTTGTGGTGCTTGTTGGAGTTAACCAGTTTATCCATCTGTTCCTTTGACCTACCTGTGTATCCTTTGCTAATAATGGTTTTCACTACTATACTTAGTAAGTCTTTAAATATCAGTGTGATTTTTCCTATACTTTTTTCTCTTAAAAAGCCATTTTTCCCTTTCTAGTTTATTTGATCTTGCATTTAATGTTTAGAATTAGCTCATCTATCAATGTATGGAGAGAACGCCTTCTGGAATTTTGATAGCTATTGTGTAAAACTTATATTTGTATAATTTTGCTAATTTTACTAAATTTTCAAAACCAAATACATCATATGTCCATTTATTTAGATCTTTTTTTGAATTTTTTTCATTTAGTTTTTGTAGTTATTGTGTAGATCTTATATATGTTAGATTTCTGTTTTATTTTGTAGAAAGCTGTTACAAATAGTATTGTTGCCACTTTGATTTGCAGTTGTTTATTACTAGTTTTTAGAAAAATGATTGTTTTGTTCATTAACCTTACCTCCTGCTACTTTTCTAAACTCTTGTATTTTAGGAGATTTTTTTTTTGGTAGGTCTACAACAGTATTTCTGTGATGCACTGATTTTTAGGTTTTTTTCTTTGGTAAAAAAGCTACATGTATAATGATAAAATTTCTTTTAAAACTAGTGCTTTATTCCAATTAATTTCAGTAAGGAAATATTTTTATTAAATTCAAAATATTTTAAGATGCAGTTTTCCTAAACCTCTTTACTGCTCTTGATATTTATATGGTCATGACTTTTTAAGAAATATTATTTATTTTCAAGTCAGAGCTAGAGAGAGAGAGGGAGGGAGGGAGGGAGGGAGGGAAGGAGGGAGGGAGAATCTTCAATCCATTGATTTACTCTCCAGATGGCTGCAATGGCTAGAGTGGAGCAAGGCAGAAGCTAGAAGCCAGGAGCTTCATTTGGGTCTCCCATGGGGTGCAGGGGCTCAAACACTCGGACCATCTTCTGCTGCTTTTCCTAGGTGATTAGCAGGGAGCTCCCTGGGAAGCGGAGCAGTTGGGACACGAACTGGTGCCCATATGGGATGCCGGTGTCACAAGTGGTGGCTTTGCCCATTACACCACGATGCAGGCCTCAATATGGTCAGGACATTTAAATAACCAGATTTTTAAAAAATGATTTATTTATGTGTTTGAGAGATAGTAATAGACAGATGGACATACAGAGTGAGTGCTGCTCTGTGCTGGTTTCCCAGATGCACACAATAGTCGAAGCAGGGAACTGGAACTCAGTCCATGTCTCTCCTTGGGTGGCAGGGACCCAACTGCTTGAGCCATCATTTGCTGCCTCTGCAGGTATGCATTGCAGTAAGGAGGAACTGGGAACAGAGCTAGGACTTGAACCTAGGCATGCAGATCTGAGATGCAGACATCTTCACCTGCGTTTTAACCACTAGCCCACCAGTCTCTTCCTCTATTGGTTTTACAGTGTACCAGATGGTCTCTGTTGGTGAAGATACCATAGATGATTAAAAAAGAAAAGATATGTTATATTGTAGGTGTTGACTGTAGTGTTCTAAAAATACATCATGGTGCTAATAGTGTGAAGTATGTATATTTTCTAACTATGGAATTGTTCAGTTTAACTCTTTAATTCCATCAGCTTTTGCTGTTTCTATTTTGAGATTGTTTTGGGACACCTATAATTTCGCTATGTATCTTCCTAGTGAATTCTTCGTTTTGTTGTTAGTTCTTAGTTCTTTTGTTGTTAGTTGTTCTTAGTTTTGTTGTTACTTCCATATCACTCTTATGCTTGAATGTTTTTAGTATAATAGCTCCAGCATTCTTATACTTACTGTTTGCACAGTGAGGCTGCTTTCATATGTCGTCTGCTTTGAACCTCGCTGTGGGTCTGCTGCAGGCAGCTTGAGTCTTACATTTTTAAAATGAGCTTGTCTGTCTGCTGTTCATTTAAAGGGCTGATAGAATGTTCATTATTTTCTGTTTGTCTCCTCTGGTCCGTGGTTCTCTCTAGCTGCTATCTTGTTGCTCAAATATTTTTAATATTATACTTTAATGTATATAATAATTGCTGAGTTTAATTTCATTCATAATGACTGAGTTTAATTTCATTTTGACGACATATTTTTGCTTATCTAGAGATCATAGTATATAAATTTATTTTTCATTGTTTACTTGGAGTAAAATTGTGTAACTTTATGTTAGATATAGAAAACTTATAATCACTGAGGTTTCTTTACTCAGCTACCATGTTCAAACTTCCCCTCTGAAATGACAGTTATACCCATATGTTATACCTATTGATACTTTAACACAGATTCCTGAGGCCTTATTCAGTGTTGTTTTAAATTCTTTAGTTTAATTTATTGATCTAAAAGTGTTTTGACTTTTTAAGTTGTTATCTCTATTCTATTGAATTCAGTGAAATTTTTATGTCCTAAGTATTAAAATTTTCCATTTTTTGTTGTTTCTGTTTATCTTCTAAGATTTACTGTCTTGATTTCTTTCAAGCACATTTTCATGTGTCTCTTGAGACATAGTTATCGTAGCTCTTTAGAAGTCTTTAATAATTCAGACATCTGAAATTCTGGGATTCCATTCATTTGTCTTTTCCCTTGATAATAGATTACATTTTCTTGATTTTTCTGTCAGTTTAATTTTCATTGTGTCATAAAACTATGACCGTTACATCCTGTACCATCTGAGTTCTGCTGTAGTCCCCTGCAGGTCGATGTTTTTGCTTTAGCAGGAAATCCCCTTCAGATCAGGGAGTCTGTCCTTCTGTGGGCAGTGACTCAGATCAGCTCAGGTCTCAAAGACCGCTCTGCCGGTCTGAGCCCTTCCTCATGCATGTACGTGAAGGGTTAGGTGGTGACCTGTGCGTTGTCAAATCCCAGCTCAGTTCTCTAAGCCTCTGTAGGGTGCTTAAGACATACCGGTGCATGTGTGTTCAGCACCTTGGCTGAGCCTTATGCAGAACACTTTCTGAACTTCTCTCCCCTCTGAGATTTTACCCTCACACTGCTGTGTCTCTAGGCTTCGTTCCTTGGTTCTCCCAGTCAGAGGAGCACAGGTTTCTATCGGAGTTTTATGTCTGTGCATATGCTACTTACAGCTCAGCTGAGTGAGAGAAAAATAGTGACTAGCCTAGAGTCTGCCCGTGTGCGCTGCCTCGTTCAGCTGACTCCCTTTGCTTCTCAGAGTCTGCAGGTCAGCATTCATTTGAGTCAGAGTGAAAAACTGGAATTCCTGTGATTCATGGGTGTGAGGAATTAGAGCCAGCAGCAAATTTCAACTCCAGATGAGGAGGAGCCTAGTGACTGTTCATTAGTTAATGAGTTAAGACTTTGCAGAGTTGTTCAGCTTTTCTCATAATTTATATCCTTAGGTATCTGTTTTATTTAAATGTTCAAGTTTACTCCACAAATTGACCACAGTATTCTTAGTTTCCATCCTAATGTCATAGGATCTGCAGTGATATTTCCTCATTCATTCCTAATACTATTCATTTGTCTCCAGTAATATTTTGTTTGTTCTACTAGCTCTAGTTAGAGGTTTAATCAGTTTTATTAGTTCTGTTTCCATTTTTCTCATTTGAAAATTAGTAAAATTAGCATTCTCTTCTTTTTTTTAGCTTCTTAAGAGAACAGCAGAGGGCATTCATTTCCTACATTTCTCTTTCCCTTGTATATGTAAAACTGTTCATTTTCCCTCAAATATTACTTTCCATGTGTGCAGCTTTTCCCCAGCCTGAAGTTGCTCCCTAACCCGTCTGCTTATTTCTGTTGTGTATTCACAAGAGGTTCTCCTTGTCTCCAGGGTTCTCTATGTGTGCAGCTCGTTTTTAAGATTTATTTATTTATTTATTTGAAAGGCAGAGTTACAGAAAGAGAGGGAGATACCACACACACACACACACACACACCCTCACACAGTGTGTGGAATCTACACCAAGATTACCAGGCATGAAAAAAAGCAGGAAAACACAACTTGTGATGGTTAGAATAAGCAAACATCAAAATCAAGCCAGAACCAAGGAGATACACTGAAATTTATAAAACGTTGCTGAAAGAAATCTAAGACAACTGAAATAGAAAAAAATCCCACATTTATAGGTGGCAAGATTTAATACATTATTACAAAGCAATAGTAATCAATGCACTAATAATACAAGGGTAGAGCTGTAGACAAGTGGTACAGAAATAAACCCATACAGCTACAACAAACTGATTATTGATAAGGGTGCCAAGTCTGTTTCTTATGAAAATGATGATATCTTCAACAAATGGTACAGGAGCAGTAAGGTTTCCTTGTGATCTTTGTTCTGAATTCCAAGCTGTGTAATATTAATATATCTAACCCTGCTTTATGTTTCTGTTTCCCAGGTATATATTTAATTCTCAGTGTTCAAATATTTTTTTGTTTGGATGATTCTCTTTTTTTAAAGATTTATTTATTTATTTGAAAGGCAGGGCATGAGAGAGAGAGAGAAGAAGGAAAGAGGGCTTCTGTGTGCTGGCTCCCTCCCTCAGTGGTCACAGGGCCAGGGCTGGGCCAGGCGGAAGCTAGAAGCCAGGAGCTCCATTCTGGTCTCCCACATGGGTGGCAGGGGCCCAAGCACTTGTACTGCCATCCGTTACCTTCCCAGGCACATTAGCAGGAAGCAGAGCAGCGGGGACTTGAAACAGCGCTCATATGGGATGCCAGCATCGCAAGCTGCGGCTTAACCCTCTGTATGACAGCACTGGCCCTGGAGGTATTTCTTACATGTAGCACACATTGAGGTTTGCTATGTGACCCACCCTGAAAACCATTTTATCTTAATGATTTACTAAGGAAAAAAAAAACTACATCAAAGTATGTTGTGAAGAATTTTTGTAACGCAAAAAGGGAAATGCCTTTAGGTTCTATCTCTAATAGAGTAATTACAAAATGAAGCACTAATTACAATGAAGATAAAGTGGTTATTTTAATGTCTAACAGAAAAATTCGAATAGAATATTATCAGGAATATATAGGGATATTACTTAATGATGTAGGGTCAGAACTTCAATTAAAAAAACCCAATTCTAGGCCGGCGCCGCCGCTCACTAGGCTAATCCTCCGCCTAGCGGCGCCGGCACACTGGGTTCTAGTCCCGGTCGGGGCGCCGGATTCTGTCCCGGTTGCCCCTCTTCCAGGCCAGCCCTCTGCTGTGGCCAGGGAGTGCAGTGGAGGATGGCCCAGGTGCTCGGGCCCTGCACCCCATGGGAGACCAGGAAAAGCACCTGGCTCCTGGCTCCTGCCATCGGATCAGCGCGGTGCGCCGGCCACAGCGCGCCGACCGTGGCGGCCATTGGAGGGTGAACCAACAGCAAAGGAAGACCTTTCTCTCTGTCTCTCTCTCTCACTGTCCACTCTGCCTGTCCAAAAAAGAATAAAAAAAAAAAAAAAACCAATTCTAGGCCAACGCTGTGGCTCAATAGGCTAATCCTCGGCCTGTGGTGCCGGTACCCCGGGTTCTAGTCCTGGTCGGGGCGCCAGATTCTGTCCCAGTTGCACCTTTTCCAGTCCAGCTCTCTGCTGTGGCCCGGGAGTGCAGTGGAGGATGGCCCAAGTGCTTGGGCCCTGCACCTGCGTGGGAGACCAGGAGGAAGCACCTGGCTCCTGCCTTCGGATTGGCGCAGTGCACCAGCCTTAGCAGCCATTTGGGGAGTGAACCAACAGAAGGAAGACCTTTCTCTCTGTCTCTCTCTCTCTCTAACTCTGCCTGTCAAAAAAAAAATTCTAAACGTCTGTTTGCCTAATTACTGAGTTTCAAGACAGATGAAAGAACACTAGGAAGAAATAGACAAATCCACAGCTATAGCTGAAAGCTTCAAACACACAGATATCCTTCATTAGCTGCTTCACTCCCCAGTTGTCCGCATTGTCAGGCTGAAGCCAGTAGTCAGGAGCTTCATCTGGGTCTCCCTGGTGAGTCAGGGTCCCAACCCCATAGGCCATCTTACACTGTTTTCTCAGGCACCTTAGCAGGAAGCTAAGCTTCATCCACTGCACCACAGCACAGTCCCGATCTCCAACTGTTAGCATGATCCCTTCAGTTTAGAGACTTTGATGGGCCCCACCTCAGTGTCTGCAGCATAATTTCCTATTCATTGTTAATACAGGGTTACAGCAGATGTTATTAATGCATAGCTTTGTGTACTACTTTGATGTATTATTAATATATAGTGATGGACTTTAGTTTACTAATTTTAGGCTCACATTTTGTTTCTTATCTCCAAGATTGTTATCCTTTATGGTTATGTGTCCTGTGTCTTGAAGAGGATTTTTCCATGTATTTTATATGGTTATTATTATTTTTTATTGTTTTAGGCAAGATGGTAAATTGATTTCCTGTTGTTCTTTCTGGAAGTAGTAGTCCAGGCTTCTGAGTAGTGTCAGACAGAAGCACTTCTTTAGCTTTCTTCAGCGTTGTACTGTTGCTGTCCGTGTGTCTCTATTTGGGAGTTATAAAATGTGTTTTTTGTCTTTAGTTTGGACAAATAGTTTGTTACTTGAATTTCTGGAAACCCATTGCACCATTTCTTCCAGCACCTGCTGTTTCTGATGAGAAGTGAGCTTCCAGTGATACCGATCACACCCTGACTCCAGCATCACTGTTGACCCTGTGGAGCTTTGGGGGTTTTCTCTTTATTTTGAGCTGATAGCACGTTGAGCCTGTAATACCTCAGAGTGAAGTTATTTGAGTGTTTTCTGTCAGATGCTTGCTGAGCTTCTTGATCTGCTCATTTATGTCCTTCATTAGATCCAAGGCCTTTGGGCATTTATTTCATGTTTTCTCGCTAGTCACACTGTCTCCTTTTTTGGTTATCAGTTTCACATATGTTATACTAAGATATATATATTGGTCTACAGACCAAATGAAGCTTTATTCATTTTTTATTGTGTTGAAATTCACATGAATTCAAATTAATCATTTTAGTTTGAACAGTTTAGTAACATTTGCACAACCACAGTGTTGTGCAACTACCAGCTCTGTGTAGTTCTATTTTAATAAATGACCTCAAAAAAATTCTCGTATTGATTAAGCAGTTATTCCAACTCTCATTTTTTCCATGTGTTTGTAAATGATGTGAACCACATTCCTTGACTAGTGGCCAGAACTATTTGCTGAAGAAATTTTCCTTTTCACATTTTGTGGTCTCGGTACTCTTAATGAAAATCAGTTGGCGTATATGTATGAGGTATTGCAGGACTCTATTCTGATCCACTATTCTTTCCTTATGCTAGTGCCAAACTGTTTTGATTGTTGTAGCTTTATAGTAAGTTTCAAAATTTGGAAGTGTGAGTCTGCCAACTTTGTTCATTTTTTTCAAAATTTTTTAGGCATTTGGAGCTACTTACAATTTAATTCAGATTTGAGAGTCATATTTCCATTCTTCAAATAAAACTGCTAGAATGTTGATGTATAGCACTGTATCTGTACATGGCTTTTTATATTATTGTCAAGTGTGAAAGAAGAAATAAAAGTATGCATTTGTTTATATGTAAATATATGTTTATGTTTATATATTTGTATATCCTCTATATATTACATTTATTGGGTATATTTATATATTTATACATATATGTATGTATTTACACATATATGTATAAATATATATATAAAAGAGGGTACTTCAGAAATTTCATGGAAAATGGAAAGAAAAGTTTATTTTGATGCAAAAATGATTTATAATTTTATGTATAATTTATTATATGCATTTTCCTTGAACATTATGAAGACTGTGTGTGAGTATGTATGTATCTGAAAATACATGCAAACCACAAAAAGCTACTGGAGCTAATACAAGAAGTCAGCAAAGTCAAAGGATACAAGATCAACACACAAAAATCAGGTATGTTTCTGTATACTAGCCATGAACAGTTCCATAAAGAATTTAGGAAAACAGATTTACAAGATCTTTCAAAGAATTATCAGGATGTAATTAACCAAAGAGGTTAAAGACTCATACTTTGAAAATTAGGAAACATTCCTAAAGGAAGTAAAATAAGACCAACATGATTGGAAAGACATTTTATGTGCCAAAATTTAAAGACTTAATGTTGTTAAATTGACTACATAGGGAGAGAATAAAATTTTTAATAGAATTTTTAGTGATGGCTCTATTATTTTGTCACTTAAAAGTGTCATCCTTTTATGTTGTAAAGAGAAATCAGGTGTTCATTGTACTGAGAATCCCCAAGCCTTCACTTCAAGCATAAATAAGAATTCCATACAGTTAGTGCTCGTTCCATTTGTAGTTGCCTTTGTCTCTTCTGTGTTTGTTTCTGTAAGCCTTTGGCCGTTTTCCAGCTCTTCTTTCAAAGCTGATTCTGAGAAATTTTGCTTGATTTTTTTGTTTCTTTTTTGAACAATCTTTTCAAGTGGCATGTCATTCTATAAATTTTTATTCTTTTTCTTCCTTTTATACAGAATGGGCAAATCTGATCCGATTTTAAATTTACTGATTGACATTATCCTTTTGTCTTTGTTCCACTATTAAACATACCTAGATTTTTTCCTCTGATTTCTTTGTGTTTCAGGTCTATAATTTCCATTCTGTATGTTTTCTAGTTTGCATTTCCCTGGTATGTTTTTCCTGTATGCTTATTTCTTATGACCACATCATCCTTTATGTCTCTGAATACATTTATGCTAACTACTTTAAAGCCCTTGTCTGTCAAATACCACATCTGTGTTGTTTTGAACCAGTGTGCATCATAATTTTGTGTACTTTTCCAATCTAACGATTTTTGTGATATCCTCAACTTTTTAGATAATGCTGTTAGATTCATCTGGCTTATCTCTCTTCCACAGAATGCTGATTGGTTCTACTAATGTGCTGGACTCACCTTTCTAAGACCTGTCTCCTCACACCCGACCGGCTGTCAGACTCCGAGCATTTGCTGTTTCTGACCTCCTTGCTACATCACCCGTGCTCGTGAAGGTGGCGCAGCAGCCAGCGATCTGGGGTCCTTTAGACACGTGGTTCCGAGCTCCTGTTTGTGTTTCTCCACACTGCCTTGGGTTTCTGCCGTCACTTCCCATACTCACCGGGGTCTGAAATTTGTCCTCTTACTTTTGGCATCCAGTAGCCTGTGACTTTCTGCCGTGTAGTTTTTGTAGTGTCTGTCCTACTGAGTATGGTGATCTGGTTATACCTTGATTTGCCTTCTCCTGTAGTTAGTGATGTTGAGCATTGTCTCTGATTTCTGTGTAGCCACGGCTGCCTTGGGTGTTGTGTTGCTTGGAAGGGCTTCTCTGCTGCTTGTGCGGGCCCTGTGTGCTCTGTGTGTTCCTCAGTAATGTCCTGCCCCAGACGTATTCACATTGATAGTACACACAGATAGTGAGGGCTCTTCATAGGGAATTCCCTGTCCAGTGTTCTTGAAGATTTTTGTTCTGTACTTTCTTACAATTTTTATATGTCAGTACTGGTTAGTAATAACTCCTCTTTCTGTGTATAGTCTGCTAATTTTGTGTCTTATATTTAAATAACATTTACCTCAATTCCACATAGTAGAGAAAAAGTATTTTAGTATATATAAGGAAAAGATGCTAAGTTAATAACACGAATGTATTGCATATATTGTAGTATGAAAATTTGTTAATTCATTTTTCCTTTTTATTATTTTAAATTTATAAAAATTATGAGGTAGTACTATAGTTTCCATGCAACCCTCACCCCCTTTCCCTTATTAAAACCTCGTATTAGTATGTTTGTCATGATAAATGAACAAGATTTATTAATTCTAAGAACAGCTGTTAAAAGATCATATTTATTTAAGCTTGAATGTAGACAGATTTATGCCAGTGTGAATACTGTTCAGTGTTGCACAGTCCATATAACATGAGTGTAAAGGCTGTGTGCAAACTCCTCTTCTGTTTGGAGAGTGATTTAACACTTTCACTACCTTTGTTCACCATTTACCTTTATGCTTCAAAATATATCAGTGCATGTTTTGAGAGAAAGTGCATCATGAGCCCATATATATTTGGGAAACATCATATCATTGGAAGTTTAATATGTTCATTACCAGTAAGCAGTCCTTATCATTGCTAATTTAACTTTGTTAAATCTTGTTAAACAATTTAACAAGTATCTTTTTCCATCTTAAACCATATTCCTCAAATGAAACATCTATTAAAACTTGAAGAATCCTGTGGAAACTATTAGGGAAATTACTTCCTCTGAATAACAATTAAAATATTTCTCAATTTGGAAATCAAATATTATATAAACCAGATATGAGCATGACGTGATTGAGTCATACTGTTGGCAAAAGAATTTTCTTTGATGGTCTGCAATGTAGCCATGCCTTGGATATGTTATTTACATATCCTGAATTCCTAGCCATTTATAGTTCAAAATATATAGGACAATATAATGAGATCCTAGACCAATCAGATGAGTGGTTGGCCTTACCTGACTTCTATGTCCCTGTCTCCAGTGGAGGTGGTAAGTGGAGGCAGTCGTCCCAGAGTGTGTAGTGTTAAGTGTTTATCAAGTGCCTGTGATAAACTGGGTGCTGTTTCATGTATACAAAGTTGGTTACTGTTACTGTACCTGTTTTAAAAATGAGGGCAGTGGAACTTAAGAGAGTTGTCTGATTCACCTAGCATCCTAAAGTTAGTCAGTGGCAGAGATGGTATCGGACCTTGTTTTGTGTGTATCTTTCTTGACTTATTGTACATAATTAGCCGTGGTAATATGTTTGTGATATACATTATCCTTATATTAAGGACTATCAAACTGAGTTAACTTAGGCCAAGTAATTTTTCCAGAATTTCACATTTACGAAATTACAGACATAGGACTTTAAATTGGAGATTATTAAAAATAAGTGCCATTTCCTTTCCAACTTGGATCCATCTTTGTACAACTAAAACACTTCATTATGGATCATCTGATCACATTTGGTTCCATATGAGGTGTTGGCCTTGTAGGGGTTCCACTGTAACTTCAGGGATGGTCCAGTCAGCCTTCAGTCTCAACAGTTTGTTATCCGTGAAGTTGTTGTAGGCTATGATGTTGGTCTGATCCAGGTTTAGAGGGAAAATTTAAAGCTCTGGTGTATGATTCCACCTATAAGATAGGGGAAGTAGTCACACACTTAGAAACAGAGAGTACAAAGATGGCTCCCAGCATCCAGGTGAAGGGGAGATGAGTTGTAGGTGGGTATGGAGTTGAAGTTTTGTGAGCTGAAAAAATTCTCAAGGTTGGTTCAACAATGTGAGTATACCTAATACTACAGAGATGCACACTTAGAGGTAAGATGAAAAATTTCGTATCATGTCTGTTTTATTTAGAAAGAGGTAAGATGAAAAATTTCGTATCATGTCTATTTTATTTCTGTTAAGAAGTTGAAACCTTTAAGGAATCTCCTTTGAGAGTTCCTCCATGTAAAGTTGACGTGGGTGACTTGGAGGGACCCGCCACTCACGGCTTTCTCCTTTATTCACAGTGATCTGCAGCCCTGGATCTTACAATCCCCGTGATGGAATTCACTGCCTTCAGTGCAATAACAGCCTGGTATATGGAGCCAAAGCATGCATTTAGGCCATCATCTTGACTTACCCGGTGGTTTATTAAACATACAATTATATTTTGAAATATTAATATATAATAAATCACTATTATGCAAAAATATATCAGATTTTACAAAAAAATGGTGTCATTGTTTTAATCAAATACTGTTTGTCCAAGTGCTTTCTAATTTCAGACCTACATGTGGCCCCAGAATATCTCTCGTGTCATGGCGTTTTAAAAATGGTGCTGTGCACTTGGCAGGTCACTTCAGATGCCGCTTGGAACGCCAGCATCCCACTTGGAAGTGCCTCGTTTCAAGTCCTGGATCCACTCCTGCTTCAGCTCCCTGCCAGGGCACACCCTGGAAGGAGCAGGTGACGGCTCACATTGTTGGGCTCTTGCCCCTCCTGGGGAAGACCCCAGTTGAGTTCCTGGCTGTTGGGATCAGCCCTGGCCTACCCCAGATCTTGTGGGCATTTAGGGAGTGATCTGGCAAATGAGAGATCTGTCTCCCTCACTGTGTCTTGTCTGCTTTTCAAATAAATAAATATGTGAAAATTGTTTCAATCATACTGTGTTGGATTAGTGCCCCACAAATTTTAAGGTTTTATTAAAAATGTCCCACCTTATCTTTATTATGTGTTCATTATATTCAGGCCACCACATTCTTCATAATGACTTCTATTTCACCTTGTTTGATTCCTCTGACTGACTTCACATGCTTTTCCTCATTCTACATTGATCTTTCCTAGTTCACAGCCACTTTGAAAGTTGGGACCCCTACTACAGTGTTTCCCCCACCTTGAGCATATGGCCTTGTCACAGCCACATGGTGAGGTTTTCATTTCATTCTGTGTGGTTATCTTAAGCTTTTCAGTTTCGAGTCCCTTAAATTACCTTTTTGACATTTGGGAATGCAGTAATCATTGTGTGTACCTAAATTACCACTTGAACTTTCCCACTGAAGAGACCGATGAGGTCTTTTCCTTCCCTGAGAACACCTCTACTAACGAGAGTCAGCCGGTCAAGCTCTGAGTTCATTCTGTCAAATGCTGTTGACAGCCATTCCTGCCAGCCCAGACTGGCATTCACCCTCTCAGTGTGAGATGCTGTATCTGAATATGAAAAATTAGCAGATATTCAGAGTTTAAACATAGAGAAGTGCATGAGTAACTTATGCAATGAATAGTTTCTCTGTGTCCTACTTATATTTGTGTCAGCTTTACTCTCTGGGACATCCTCTGTCTTGCTCTTCACACTTCCTGTTTAAAAGGATGTCAGCTTTTATGAACAGCAGATGTAGTCTAGTGGGATCCCAGCACAACTGTGCAGCACACTGACAGGAAAAGTTCACCTACACCACACACCTGATGACCCTGTAAAAATAGACCAGTGACTGAATAAGCCTCTCATTTGGTTTCCTATGGACAAGTACAACCCCGAGGTTCTCACCCAGAGGAAAAGAAACAGCCTGTGGGCATATTCCTTCAAAAACCACTTCATCATGATGATGTAATGCTCTTGAATGGTTTATAAAGTATTTTTTCAAATGCCTTCTTTCCTTGAGTAAGTAACATTTTGGACATTTCACTGTCAAACTAATTAGAGAAGTTTGAATGTGAATTTACTCGTAGTAATTAACATTTTGTATTAACATTTTGAAACAAATACCCAGAGTGGGAGTTAGGAGCTGCAGTGGAGTCACCACTTGGCATGCCCGGGTCACGTGGCATCTTCCTGCTAACGTACATCCTGGGAGGCAGAAGACAACGGCTCAGGTCTTGAGTCCTTGTCACACATGTGGGAGACCCAGATGGAGTTTGGACTCCTGGCTTCAGCCTGGCCCAGCCCTGCCTGCTGTGGGCATTTGTGTATGAGCCAGTGGGTAGAGCATCCCCCTCTGTCACATAAATAAAAATAAATTCTTAGAAAAAAGAAAATGCACCAGAATGTTAATAACGGTTGTCTCATGCAATGAGACCATGTGTTAATTTTTTGATACTGTTTCCCAAATGTTCTACAATGCAATGAATTAATTTCAAAAAAACAACAATAAATGTACCATGAAACAAAGAAGTAGTGATGTATAGAATGCATTGTTGATGATCTTGCCAGTATCAGCCCAGTGCTGCCCTCAGCTCCCTTCTCCCCTTCTGCCTGACAGCACGGGGTTTGTGTACGGCAGAGATGGTCCTTTTAAGCCACTCAGCACAGGGCTCTTTCGGCCCCCAGTTTTTCTACTACCGTAAGGACAAGTTTCTTGACCTGTGCTCACTGAGGACAAAGTGGACACAGTGAAAGCACTGGGGCCTTGAGGAGGGTGTGTCCTTGCCCTCCTTGCACCTGAACCCAGCCTGCCCTGGGCCTCCATGGTCAACGTGACCCAGGGAATTTACCCAAAGAAAATGAGATTGGCATTCAAAGGAGTTATGTGCACCCCCATGTTGATAGCAGCTCAGTCCACAGTAGCTAAGACGCGGAATCAACCAAGCTGACCATGAGTTGACAGAATACTACTCGGCCATAAAAAAGAATGGATTCCTGTGTTTTGCAGCAAGATGGATGCACCAAGAGACCATTATGGTTAGGAAAAGAAGCCAGTCCCCAACAGACAAATCCCATGTTTTCTCTGATATGTTGTAGTTAATATAGATTACAAAAAAAGCATGAGTGAAGCTGATGTGTATGACTTCATTATTGCTTGTAGCCCTTGTCTGTATCCCTGTGGAACGGGTCTTTCTGCTCCTGTTGAACATTATGGCTACTTTGGTGCATTAAGCTTGCAATTATAAAGTAAATAGAAAACATGTCATTGCAAAAATTAAAGTAAAAAAAAGCAGAGGATATTGAGGGAGAGAATTATGGCTATCTTCTTAGAATTTTTTCTATGAAATCTGTTCTCTTTAATAATAAAAAAACAATTTTTGACTGGTTTTAGCCAAGTTAGGTTTCTGTTATTTGGAAAAAGCATTGTAAGAGATATGGTATCACAAGGAATTAGTAAAATAGAAATAGAAATAAGGAGAAATCAGCACTTATAGTTTCATAACTCAGAAATTGGCAGTGTTAATGTTTTGGTAAATCTGTGCTTTCATGTGAATTTTTGTTCATGTTAGATGTACCATAATGCAGCCAATACTCTTGATATTTTATGTTTTCATATTTGTTCACTTAATATAGTTTCAGGGACTAAAGTATTTCACGTGCCCCTGCAAAAAGTGCAGTAAAATGGTTAAGCATTTCTCATTATTAAACACAGCATAGCTGTTAACATCTTCCTTTAAATTCTCTAGTCTTTTTGAGTAGTCTTAGAAGTACAATTGATGTATTTGGATATTTCTAGTCCTCTGCACCATTTGCCAAATTATTCCCTAAATAATCACACCTGTTTGTAAGTTACCACATATTTTCTCTGATGTGTTTTTAAAATAATTCAGTACATGTGAATAGTTCCCCCTTTAATATCTTCATTTTTTGAGAGCTAATGTGTGTAAGCATTCCCCATATATTATGCTGCTGCAGGTTTTTATGATGTTTATTGTGTGATGTTAGAACCCTTCACATAGATTTTCCTATTTAAACTACCCATTCCGGGACTTATTATTATTCTCATTTCATACGTGAGGAAAACGAGTCGTAGTCATGAAGTCATGGTAGGTGGGGAGCCTGTGTCAGCCGGGATTGCTTCCGTTGCTCGTTAGCAGAGTGCACTCAGCTGGTGCAGTGGCTTCCCTGTGACTTCCTACCCTGTGGCCCCTGTCCTGTTTATTCCGATGTCCTAGGGCAGCTTAGACGCTGTTACACCTGTAGGCACTTCATTTGTCTTCCTTTCAGATAAAAAGGCAAAGTGAAAACCTCTAGGAGACTTATGTGGCAGTGAGTGAATAGTGTCTCAAGGCTATGAGACATTGTAAGGGAATTGGGAAATGAATGTATTCACTTTTTAATTTAAATTGGAAGTGAAAGGGAGTAAGATGGGTTCATGCACTAGTGGTGGGTGTTGGGTGGGCCAGTGACAGTTGTTGACTGTGGGTCATTCCTTTAGTCTGCCCTGATACACACCCTTCTCATTAAAAGGCCTTGATGTAATGTCATTCTCTGGCCTGGACAACTGCCAGTCCTTACTACTGCATCCAAGCTGAATTTCAGAATCGTGGATGAGGTGTACAAGGGGCATTATGCCCAGTGTCCCTATGGTCTAGACAGGTTATCTGCCTCCAACATACCTGATATAAAATGGATAAGAGAGCGCACCCTGCGCAGCCAAGAATCCCTGCACAGCAGAGGAGGGGACAGGACGCCCCCTCAGCAGCCCCGCTGTGGGCACGAGGCAGTGAGGTCTTCCTCGAATTGGCGCAGATTCCATGGTTTGTCCCCCCTCTAACCTGTGTGGTTTTCATCCTTATCAATTCTATTCCACTTCCCACGCTGCACTGTAGCTTCAGTTTCACTCTCAGAAATCGGAGATCCGGGATCTGGCACGGGCCAGATGTGGATTTCTAAGGGGCAAATGGGGTTAGGTCCTAATGAACCTCACTGTGAGTGGAAAAACACCATATGCTGAGAGTTCTTTTCATGTACACAGCCTACTGACTGCAATGAATTGTGAATGATGGGGCTGTGCAGTGGCGGGGTCATCAGTTCTCTCTCCGGTGAAGGCACTGGCCATGAGTACGTGCTGGTGGTTGGCAGGAAGATACAGAGCTGTGACTGCGTTTGTTTCTGTACGTATTTCTGGGTGACAGAGGAATGCTGTACCTGCCTGTCAGCTCGTGTGAATCACAATCGATGTTCATCTCTTCTAACGTGCACATCGCTGCAAATGCCTCTGCCGCCTTCGCTGTGAACTCTGTGGCTCCAGTACAACTTCTTCCTCCACTTCAGTTTCGTCGTTTGCCTCAGTTGATTCGTTCCTTGTTGGAAAGCTCGGGAGCTTCAGTGACAGTAAGTTTATGAGCGTCCTGTCAATGTGTACATCTCGGGGCTTCCTGACGCTATCTTGTTACTGACTTTCATCAACCCAGAGTCGCCGTTAAAGCCTTTGCATGTGTTTACATGGCTTCCGAGTGCAGGTCACGCATCGCTGTGTGACTTCTTCCCATGCCACAGTGGGGATGTTCTGGGTAGCATTTAGAATAGCAAAGCCTTCCAGGACTCCCAGAGCCTGATTCAGTGGCTCCAGTAGCTGTGCAGATGCTGGACATCGGCGGTCAGCTTTGAGGGCAGCTGTGACCTTGGTCCCTCGATGGCATGAGTGCAGCCGTGGTCAGCGGCAGACGCAGGGTCTTCCCAGCAGCATGCGCATCTCCAGTGTGCCCCTCACTGCCCTGGAGCACTGAGACCAGGAGAACCCTGAATGAGAGGCTGTTGTGCCCATGTGATCCTCTGTGGAACACAGCGTTTTAGAAACCGTCTTCCCACGGTGCTGGTGCCCTGCGGGCTCTCTTGCAGTGGTAAGTGGCAGGTGTGAGCTTGCTCACCTTCTGGTGTTCCCCCAGGGGAGGAAGAGGCAGGCACTGGGCAGAGCCGTGTGAGCTGCCTCTTGGGACACTCACCTCATGC